CAAGTTCTGGGGATTTGGAAGTTGGCAGTGCTTCCAAAGAGGTGCGATTTTGGGAGCGGTGTGGTCACTACTCTCCTGGTTTTTTTCTTTGGGCTTTACCTAGGAAGGACCCCTGATCCCTTGGGATTGCAAGCCATATTGTTCCTCAGGGTCTCTTTTTCCTTGGGACTGGAAATAATAGTGTTCTTCAGGGTCCCTGATCTCTTGGGGTCAGAAGTCATTGATGGATAGTACTCCTTCCTGCCCTTGAGCTATGGCTCAGTAGTGTATATAGGCTACGACCCAGAAGTGGGTATAAGCAATGGAGTTACCAAACAATGTTAGGTCCTGTGTCCAGTGCTAGGACAGGGGTCCCCTGTAATTTTTTTCTGACCATTTGCCAGGTCCCCTTAACCATCTCTGGCTTGAGAACTCCAAAAGCTGCTGCTGCTTCTTTCATCACCACCTAATCCCATCACTGGTGTTTCATTCGCATGGTCTCTGGGTCAGCCTCCTCCCCTTCGTCATAGATCTCTCTTTCCAACCTCTTATTTTGTTTTGGGCTGGAAGAATGTCTCATTCTGACCTTTTATTGACTCTGCCACTACAGAATTTGATTTGAGGTGTTATTTTAAAGTTGTTTGGAGGGGAATGTTGGGAGAGCTCAACTGAATGCTTTCTCTACTCTGCCATCTTGGCTCCATCCTTCCCCACCCCATATTTTCTAAATTAACTAATAAAAAGGGTGGAATCCAATGCAGGGAAGTCAGAATGAGGAAAAAGGAAGTAGGAAAGTTAACCCTAATGATGTCATTATAGCAAGATGCTGTAATAGAATCTTTACCAGTCATGCATTAAACTATTGTATGCCTATTAATAAATATATTATCATGTTCAAAGTATGTTTATCTATTTATCTTATTTTCTATAACTCTTCCTTTAAGCGAAAAGGATGGAGGACAACATCCTAATTATATAGAAATGAGAAAATGCCAATATCATTACAGTCATACATTTATTGACAAGTCTGAGCATTTAAGACAGGATAAGCAAGTAAGTTTTGAGTTCCTTCACAGACAAGCTTGAAAATTGATTTATGAAGTCAGATGATAGATTCACATCAAAGGAAAAAAACAGAATATGAGTCTGACCTTTATGTGTCCTCTATTACATCTCATAAAATGACAGTGAAAAATATGACAAATCAGGTGATATAAAGTTCTTCTCTAGGTGCAAATCAGTTCTAATTTTTGCCAAAGTCCAGTAAAAATTGTTTAGGAAATCATGGTATTTTCAGACTATCTGTTAGTATGGCCACTTTTAGGGCCCTGGCCAGAAAAGAAAGCTGTAGATACTAGGCCTTCTGCCACCAGGGTCTTTGATAGGTATCTGGTGATTGCTGACAAAAGGTTTGATTAGGAGTCTAGGACATTCTAAGCAAAAGGAAAGGGATGAGGATGAGGATGAAGTCACCTACTGTCATCATACCATTCATATTCACCCTAAGACTATTTCTTCTTTGATCATTAGGATTTAGATAGGGGCTTAAGGTTTGCAAAGTATCTTACATATTATTTGTTTCTCACAGTAACATTGTCAGACATGTGCCATTAATATCCTCATTTTACAGATGAAGGTAAGAGAGATTAAGTAACTTGCCTGGGATTTTGGTCTTCCTCATTTCCCAATGTAGTTTTTTTTTTTAAACCGTATAACCAACTTCCTTTTTTATACTTAGCTTCCCTCTCTAGCTTCCTCTGAATTTTAGCATTCTTGACAGTATTGTTACATAACTATGACACACTTTGGGATCATCCTTCATTAAATGATTTTGCTTAGCTCTTCTTTTTGAACATGTCTTTTAGCAATCTAAATTGGACAAAGAGGTCCCTATACAACTACATTAGTTTCTTTAGGCAATTCCTCTTTCTTCCTCATCACAATGGGTGCTCTGTGTCTTCAAATTTTCATTCTTGAAAGTTTTTTTGCTCATTACTTACTGACTTACCACTTTTCCACTTGCCACTTTTTCATCTCAAAGTCTTTGAAATATACTTTCTTAACAATAATGATAAATAGCTAGCTTTTCTCTCTTCTATCATAGATGTTTAGCTTAAGGTTCACATCATTCTTATTTTGGCAATGAATTTCTTTTTGTTGGTGAATATCAGATCTAAAATAAAATTGTCTATTTATTGATTCATTACCTTTAGAATAGGGTTTTTTTTAAACTTTTTTTTTATGTCATGGACCCCTCTGGCAGTCTGGTAAAGCCTGTGGACTCCTCAGAATAACGTTTTTAAATTCAAAAAAAGAAAATACATAAGATCACAAAGAAAAGTATATTTAAAGTCACTGAAATATATGCATAGATATAGACATAAGTATATAGATATACAAAAAGTTCACAGACTCTAGGTTAATAACCTCTACTTTAGAAGGATGAACTTAATAAAAAAAAAAGCAATTCAGTAAATTATTAGTTGCTTTATTTTTAGCAGAGAGCTCCAGTAGGTATTCAGATAAATGAAGGCTAGTTTCACTACCCTGTAACGTCCCAAACTTCTGGTGTTTCCAGAACTCCTCAGGCCCTCCACAATTCTTCTGCTCAGGGGGGGTCTTTATTATATTCTGATAACAATAACATTTCTGTTTTGCCTCTTTTGCTCTGTAGCCAAATGTTTCCCGCCATTTTCTCCCTTTCTGGTGGCTGGATTTTATCACATGCCCAATTTTAACTATCCTATTCCTTTTAAATAATGTATACTCCTTCAGAACCATATTCAGAAGCAAGGTTCCATTATACCAAATATCAGTAATGCTTGTGAGGTCCAATTTGGTTTCTTTTATTGTGATATCTAGTTCACTTTCTTTATTAGCTATACTTTATGCATTTGTATTTAAGGACAATGGTTTCTTGGATTTTACTTCCTGTGAAAATCAGAAAAATGGATTTGTTTCTTGAAGTGTAAATTTTTGCAATATCCCTCAACTTTACATGTATGTGCACAAGAACACGATTAACAACATTTGATTACCTTATTTCATATTTTTTCTCTTTTCCCCTTCTTTTCTTTCTTCCTTCCTTCTACTCCTCCTTCTCCTTTTTCTTCCTCTATTTCTCCCTTTCTCCTCCATATCATTTTTATTGACAGGTATGATGGTAACACCCCATCCAGCCATCCACCCAGACACCAATGCCTACCTATTACAGACATGTTGCCATCTGATATGCCACTATAAGTGCAGAACCTCTTCCTTACCTAGTGCTAAAGTGAAGGTTAAAATGCTTATTGAGGATTCCCTCAAGCCCTATCATGAATTGATTTTTTAAGTACCAGTCTCCTGGGAGAGCATGATATTAATTTGTTTCTGAATCTTGTTTTGAGTCTTTGTCAATGTGTAGTTTTGAGTCTTTATGCTTAGGATTTCTTTTGCGTAGAGGAAATAAATACCTGTCCCATACATGATTTATATTGGACATTGAGTACATTTTTCCCCCTCTTTTGGGGAGACCCTCGAAATGAACTTAACCTAAGTTGTAACTAACTTTCATTTAGACTGGCACAGAGGAGTAAACAATCAAAGAGATTGAGTAAAAGAGTTTAGCCCCTGTTGTAAGAGGTCATACTATCCTAGGAATGAACCTGTTCTATCTCCATTTGTGTCCAGAACAGAGGGTTTCCTTAGTAGACAGGCAAAAGTCCTAAAAATAACAACCTCAGCAACCCAGGCTAAGGTTATTTGTAGACAAATTGCAAAAAAATAAAAATTTGCTGCACTTCAGCTTTTGGAACAACCCTTGTTATTTGGTTGCAAGCTATACAGTTAGCCTTTCATTCAAGTTTCATATGCAGCAGAACCTCTCCAGAAGTTATGTAAATGCTTGAAGTGAAACTAAAGAAATCTACAAATTCAATACCAACCTTATAGGGCAGCTAGGTCACTTTGATTCCAGACAAGAGAAATGGAACATTTGGTGTGAAATTTTCCTGTTAGGGATGCTGTGAAGTAGTATAGATGAGTATGTTGAGGTATAAATGTAATTACCAATTAAGAGTAAATTAATCTGGAGGGTACTTTACTTTGCCTTGTTTCTTGATGTCTATATTTCTCCCTATACTTAAAATGATTTCTCTTTCATGTCCTGAAGATCATGGAATCATAGAGTTGGAAGGGACCTCAAAAGATATTGTGCCTAACCAATGCCTGAATGATAATTTCTCTCTCCACTATACCTGACAGATGGCCATGTGACCTTTGTTTGAGAACTCTGAGGCAACTTCGCTTCAAAGCAACTTATGAGGCAGTGCATTCCACCTTTGGACATTTCTAATTCATTCCCCTTGTTATCAAACTTAAATAAGTTTTCATTGGTCATTCACTTTGCAGCTGCTCTTCCCTGGCAGTGTTATAGTAACCCACAAATATAGGAACAAGTGAATATTTGAATACATGGGGAGATGTTTTCAGCAAGGTTTGGTTCATAAATTTGGTCTTTGCTGTGGAACAAATCTCTGTTAAGCTGAAGGAGAAAGTGATTAGCCTTGCTTTCTACACTCTATCCTTTAACACATATTTACCCAACTTTTAACCTTTGATTGAAAAAACACAAACAACTCAATGGTGATCAGGAAAAACAGAAACAGAAGAAACTATGTTTGAAAAAAGTGGGGTAAGAATACTACCCTTTTGATTAGTAACCAGTCCCAGTACCAGAAAAACTTCAAAGTATTCTCTAAACATTGAATTTTCATCAGTGATGCTGTAAGCCTGAACTCTCATCTTTCATGCCATAACATCAAAAGAGAAAAAGCAGAATGGCCAGATTTCAAAGCAACCTTGTGCTCAGGCCAGAAACTGTGTATTTAGCCACCATACACACACACACACACAAGTAGTTAATTACTTTGTTTAGTTATATTTTAATAAATGCTATAATTAATGTTTTCTT